GTGACAACTGTGCTGGCTCCGAGTGGCCCCCCTTTTTCCGGCGACGATGCGCACCCGCCTGGTCCTCCGAAGGGGCCCAGGAGGACCCGAATAAACATGCACAACAAAAAAATATTTCCCTCCCCTTCCCATACTGTCCCATGTATGCTTGGAGACGGAGGAACGGACGGACTATTGCGCCTGTCTACTGTGCCATCCTAATCCTAGTCCTCACCCCCCTCTTGGAATGAAGGCCTCCCAACTGGGGTCCAAGTAGGTGAGGTCGGAGGATCGCGCCGCATCACCGAGCATCGGCGACGTCGGCGTGGAGAAAATTGGGACAAACATTGGGCCGCGACGCCGATGCATCGGCGATGCGGCGCGATCCTCCCACCCCGTCTACTCGGACCCCAATCCCAATAATCCAGCATCTCGCTTTGTCCGGGACACGGGCCCCCGACCTCTCGACCACTTCCCCGGGACTGGTTTTTCATCCCGAGCCGGTTTTTGACGGCCCCGAGGCCTGGTAAGGGCCCCGGTAGGCCGAAAACGATGACGAAACATTATGATCACTTCTTTTATTCACGGCGATAACGGTCGTGATAATGGGGAGGGGCGGGGGGAAGGTATAACGTAACGTCCCAGCCCCGCACCGTGACAGACTGTGGTGCCGGACGCGCTGCGGCAGTGCCGGGGACGCACTAAGGGGAAGGGCGGGGGGAGCACAACGCACGCAAACGGTAGTAACTGACAAAATCACTCTCCTTCGTCTCGATTTGTTCGATGCGCCTGATGTCTGGGTTTGGGACGCCCGTATGGACGCCCCCGCAGATCGGCCGCCCCCCGAGTCTCTCCCGGGCCGCCCCGGGTGGCTTCCACCTTCGCGGCGGGCGGCCGAGGGCAGCCCGGTCCCCCTCAGCCGTGGGTGATGGCGAATGAAGCCACCGCGGGTCGCCTGAAATGAGATCCACAGCAGCACGTGGGGCTTCTTAAGCGACCGAAATGTTATCCTTGCTCCTCCTCGCGCACCGACCCCCGCTAGGGGCCAGAGTGGGATGTGAATGAAGTGCTGGTATCCGAGGCCATTAGTGTTGTATCCATGCCC